CTTTTAGTAAAGTGAACCTAAAGTAACCAAAAGACTATAAGTTTTCGCTTTTATTTAATGTCGAGAGGGATTATTAAAGTAATTTAGTTTAAATTTTCTTCGTGGAGATCCCACGAATAATTACAACTATAAGCGCTGTACGGAAGTAACAGTAACAGAGCAAAGCAGTTTTACTGAACTGCTTTGGGCTTACAACTGAAAATTATACAAAAACAGAAATTAAAAATTATCTTCAGAAAAAAATTTCTTTGGAGTAAAACTATTATGTATGATATTTAGATTCTCTCATAAATTGCATTTTTTAATTCCTAGTGCTCAATCGAGTTGCAAAAAGCATCGAATTTATGATCTCTTAACGTGTGGTAGCGTACATATCTTTAAGCTCGCGTTAAAGCAATCTCATACAGACATATATATATTTAAATAATATTCCTAGCCCTAACCGAAATGGAGCTGTCGGCGATAGCGTGCGGTATCCCAAACATCGTCTTAACTAAATCTGACAGTAATTGGTGTGCTGGTTGAGCCGTTCGTAGATGGCGTTAGCATTTGCATCGCAAAATGTTATCTAGAGGATTAATCTGGAGATCTTGATGTAAGGCATTTTTGCAAACAAACCACGGAGCGACGTCATAAGGCGTAGCAGCTTGTTTTTTTCTCATTTGAAGCAAAGAGACTATTCCAGGTGATTGTAGGCCCAGGCAGTGGACGCGTATGTATGATTAACCAGATACACCACGCATACAAGCGTCGTGTTCGTGTTGCGCAACGAGAGTTTGCTTCGGTCACAAAGTAAAGGATGTAGGGTTTAAACCGCCGCCTGGACCTTCGCAGAAATATTATTTACGTGTGGCCGCCACGAGCTTACTCTCAATAGTGACACACAGGGACTTTGCCTGAGGACACCAAGGAACTACCTTATTTTCAAAGGTCAGCAGCGGTAGTGGTGTAGTGCGCTTCTTTGTGATAAGAAGGGCTCTGCTCTTTCCCGCATCATTAGTAATTTTCCTCAACAACTCCAGTTGGCAAGAGTCTCTAGATAATACTACAGGGGTTGGCGCAATAAGGAAGATGCTTTGAAGAGTAAATCGTCGTAACATCCTCTTATAAGGCAATCCGCCTGTGGGGGTTGTTGAGGCTGTGGCGCGTTGTGTTAAGATACTGGAGATCGTAAGGTTCTCTGACGATAATAAGCGCTCCAAAAGCGATCTTATAAGAGTTATAATATATAACGAAGAAAAAAAAAAGGTAAACTAATTAACCTTGAGCAAAGGTAATTAACAGAGCTAAGATTTTAAAACAAGCACAGAGCTGATGCACAACTATATCAAAGCTGTGCACAGGCGGAAATAGAACTTAAGCAAAGACCTTAGAATAGAAACAGGACTTGGAAATGGCATGTAAAAGCAAAAGTAACTTAAAAAGAAAACACGCGATAGGCGCTTTATATAAAGAAGGTATCAGAATCACCTCACCTTATGGTTGAAAACCTTAAATATCTTGTAAAGAGCGAAAAATGCAAATCATATGATTATCATGTATTGGTCAAATTTAACATATTTATATACAAGGAATATGATGATAGGGGCGCATACTACATTCATAGCACGTCGCGCACATAAAGTGTAAAGAGTAGGGGTGGTATAGAGCTTTCTTGTGTGACTCGGTTGTCAGTTGCCTTAGGGGTGAGCGCGCATTCTCCACACGTATATCAAAGGCGCGAACCTTAAGGTAAGAATTAATCATGTTCAAAAGAACAGTAGGAAGACCTCGCGTAATTTTTGAAGCAATCCCTTATTTCAAATTCGGTCAAATGCTTTTCGCCATCAAGAAAGACGGCACTTGTTGCCTTCTTTAAATTGAAGGCTGAACTCGACCACTCTGCCAGGGAAGAAGTTGTTGAGCCGTAGAGTGTCCTCGCGAATTTACATCGGAACTCTGGCAAGGCGTGATTTGCGTCAACAAATGCTCTTAAGAGGCGTAGTAGGGCCGCCTCAGCTATTTCGCCAATGGTTGCGAAGAGGCTGGTCGTGGTGCCTTTGGGAGCGTCACAAATATGCCCTCTACCAGAGCACAAAAAAAAGGTGTCGAGGGCCACCATAGAGTTGATGAGGCAGCATGGATGACCACTGGTAATTGCAATAACATCCCGTTGGTACCATGGTGGGGACCATGTGCCTTCTATCTCGGTAAAGAGTTTATAATCTCTATGATTCCGACTATGGTGATCTGCTTATGTTTTTTGGCCTCAGCGGAGGGTTGAGCCACAAAACGCTTCATTAGCAATCAAATAAGCAGGGCGGCACACACTAAGTATCGAGGTGATCAGCAAAAAGTGTCGCTTAGTCAGCATCATTTTCTGCCACAAAATTGCAGTCTCTCATAATAGGTAATATTTAACGCGGTAGGTTTATGTATTCCTAATAACTTTTAAAAAGAAATGCAATCGTTACCATCTATTCCAATATATTACTTAACTTTGTTTACCACTATCGGTTGTGCCAAACAGCTCTTTCCTAATGCGCCGGTGTAGTCTGTTAAGAGCTATCATCTTCAGGACTTTGAACACCGTATTCACCCGAATAAGGCGTTGTCGCTCGCAGATAAGCGCCTCCAATTCATCTAGTAAGTGGTTAGGGCGGAACTCAACACCATGCATTGTCGTGGGTCTCCTAAAGGTATCTCTACTTATTTATATTAATTAACTATAACAAATAGTTAATCAATTATTTGGTTTTGGATAGAAATAGAGATAGCATACCCCCGTAGGAGGGGATTTTTTTCTGCTCTTTGTTTCCTGCGTGGGATTTGTGTGGTATACAGGGGCAGCCTAATTACCGTTATATACATAATTTGTCTAATTTATTTATTTATACATTTATTCCTACCTTGGGTATAATTATATCTACGCATTTAAGCTACTACCGCGATAGTGCCATTCTAGGAATAACAACTTTTCCAAATAGCCACAAGCGTATTGCGTTTTAACAATAAGGCATCCAAATTTTACTAGTCTATTAAAATGCGGAGACTATCAACTGGCTGGAAAGTTAATGATTGGCTCAGATTTCTCGAAATTATTCAAAGCAATACTCTATATATAGAGCACGAAACGTTTGTTCAATGGGGCGTTGTTTTTATACACTGCGTTGTTGAGTTGACAAAACTTTCTGTTCAGCGTTTGTTAACTGCGACCAAGTTAATGCAAAGCTCTTTCTGTTAATAGATATACTATCTACGCACTATCGTTGGCTATTTTAATTTTATTTAGTAGTTAACTACAATTCAGTTAAAGTTAATATAAATGAAAAACGCTGCTCAAGTATTTTGCAAAGGATTGATAAAGTTAAGTATAGTCTATGAAACCGTTTGACTTGTCAACAGTTCAGATGTAAAAAAAAAAGTCGTTATTATTTCTATTTAACGGTCAAAATCAGGTTAAAGTATCTGGCTAAAAATAAGACTGTAAGCTTATAAATTAATAAATAAGTTAGTGTGACTAGAATTGCATATTTAATTTTTTTTTGATCTAAACTATGATATTATAGCTCTTTTAAAAACTTTCATATTATTATGCATACTTAATTTAGACAGTTTTACTTATTTCTACTAACTTTATTATTTACGTAATGCAAGAGTTCAAGGATAATACAAGATATAATTAATAGTTTTTGTTATTAATTCAAAATTCCATTCTTCTTCTGTTCTCCTCCCGCTTTTATATTTATATTTATTTAAATTATAATCTCGCTATAATTTAGTTTATAATATAAAACTTTTTGCTATACCATATACAAAAGTCTAGTTCTTGCGACAGTGTAACCAAAAAAGTAATAAATTAGCTAAAAACAAGTAAAAAAAATATTCGCATAACTATATTATCCAAAAAATTTTCTACTATTTACAAGCTTTTAATCTATGCAAATTTAGATTAGTATATAAAATAAAAAATACTCTTCTACAGAAGATTTAGCTTTAAAAGATTTATAATACACTCATATTATTCTCACTTTCAATTTTATTACATTAAAAACCACTTTTAAAGGTTTATATTACTTCTAAATTTTATAAATTTTTAAATATACTAAATATAAAAATCTAAATCTTACGAAATGGGTATATAATTTGAGGTGGATTTATATTCTTTGCAAAATACTAGAACTCCAATAATCTGCTTTATAAATTTTCTAACGAGCCAAAAGTGTCAACACGTGTCATTTTAAGGGAAATTTAGATAAATGAATAAATCATAATTTTTAACAATATTTTAAAAATTATTTAAAGTTAACGTATATTTAAACTATAAAATACTTATTTAATTTTTTTTACTTTTAAGAATTAAAATATTAGATTAAGCCTGACAAGCTGGTTGGATATAAATGAATTTTTTTAACTTTTAGTTCTATAGAAGAACCCAAAAAAATAAATTTTTTTCAAATCTTGTCACTTTTTACATAAAAAAGCTTTTTTTTTATAATACTATATGAAAAATAAAAGTAACCTTTTTACTGTTTTTTAATAATATCTAAAAGTCGCAAAATATAATTAATTAGTAAAAAATTGTAAGCTAGAAAAAATTCCCCTTCTCAGCAATTCCCTCTTGCCAGAACCTTCTGTAATATTTTAATAACATGACCTTCTTTAAACGTCACAAAGTATAAAATGGTTTATATAAAAAAAGTTCTTATAAAAAAATTAAAACCTTTTTATCATGCATTTAATTACATGGCCTTCTTTTAAAGTCGAAAAGTTTAATTGAACATTTATAAAAAAGTTGTTTTAGCACTCATTTACAAATAGTTTAATAAACCAGAAAAATATTTTATCCTCACCAATTCCCTTGCCTCCCTAGTTAAACCCCTGAAGGTCTTGTCCTGGTTATGTTCACCATTAACTGAACTATTAAAGTTAACAGCTGAAAAGTTTTAGTTTTATAAAGTTACACTTTTTACCAAATTCTAGATTTACAATTTAGTTTTTCCTTTTAATAAGTTTTTAATATGCCGAAAATATCATCTCAAAATGCTTTTCAGTTGATGAGCAACACTAATAATATACGGAATTTTTGTATTGTGGCTCACGTTGATCATGGTTGTTTTAGAAAAACTTTAAGTAACTTTTATTAATATTGTTTTATTTAAGGAAAAACTACTGTATCGGATGCGCTTATTGCCTCAAATGCAATAATATCCACTCGACTCGCTGGAGAGGTGGGTCATATAAAGAATTTATCATATTACTAATAATTCTTAAACATAATTCATTTGAGTATTATTATTATTTGACAATTTATTTATATTAATTCAAAATAGTATGACTGCAATGTTAAAATCAGTTCTTATTTTTGTTTAAAAAAAAAATTTGAGTTTACTAATATTTTTATTTAACCTTTTGATTTAATTTAAGAAATCATAATGATTTCAATTTTTATATAGTTTATATATATTTATTAATATAAGTTTTTGTAATATATCCGAGTGCAAAAATTGAAAAATTATACTTTTCGTTAAAAATTTATTTTTTACTAATAATATTTAAATATAATTTATTTAAGTAATTATCATTAGTTATAAACACTTATTTAGTTTTGATATTTCATTAAAAATATTTTTTAGATGTTATGCAGGCAAAGTTAGTAAGTTATATGAAAATATTATTTAAATTTACTTTCGTGTAACAAATTTTATATAGAAGTAAACTCCGTACTTTAATATAATATAGAATTTATTAAATTTTATATAGTAATTAACAAAAAATATGTAATTATTTTTATCTTTAATGACTTCCTTATTATTAAACTTTTATTTAAAGTAAATTTATAGTTGATAAACTTTTAATTATTATATATAAACTTTTTTTAATTTTATTTTTATGGTATAATTCCTTTGCTTTGTTTATGTTTCTTTAATTAAATATTTTATATATATTTTTGTTCTTATACAATTAATTTATAAATCGTAGATTTAAATATGTAAATAATGTTTTTTGAATAATAATATGTGATAACTTTTTATTGTATAGTTTATATAAACTTTTAATATAACATTTACCTGTTATATTTATTATTTTATTTTCCACATAAACTAAAGATCTATTTTTTCTATTATTGTATGTAAATCTTTTTATAATAACTTAGTATATAAACTTTTTATTTGAATAATTTAATATAATATATTAACTTTTTATATATTTTTATTGTTATATTTTTTGTAAATAAAATTTATTATTTATATTTAAATAAGATTCTACGAAAATAATTTATTATAATTATTATTATTATTATTATACAAAAGCTCCGCTATTTGGATAGTCGAGAGGATGAACAACGGCGTGGGATTACCATGAAGTCCAGCGTCATCTCTCTGGTCTACTCCTTTTCGAAGCCACGTGATCAAGGTGCCCGCGTGGATGAGGAATACTTGATGAACCTTTTGGATTCTCCGGGGCACGTGGACTTTGCTGGAGAGGTTTATTTTTAATTTTAGCAACGACTGTCAGTGGTTACTTTACATGTCTAACGACGTTGATTCGATCGAAACATTTTTAAGCTCCTTATTGGTCTTCGTTGGCGGGGTCTATTCAACATCAACTTTCCGTCTCATTGGGCGCAGAGACCAATAGGCTAATAAATTCTTGGTCCTTTTATACCAAATGGGGCAGAGGGTGGTGGAAATAAACATTCTGATCCCATTCTAGTTAACGGTAGCAAAATAGTTTCACTTTTAGAGGCGTGCGCCCCAATTGTTACAATTTATTATTTTCTTATTATTACTTACTATAAATATTATAACTCTATTTATTTTCTTGTATATATAATTATTATTATTACTATATTCACTTTTAAAAGGTTTCTACTGCATTACGAATAAGCGATGGAGCGCTTGTGGTTGTTGATTCCGTAGAAGTTAAGCACATGTTATCAGTTTATTTCTTTACTACTTAATTAATTTTTGCTTGCAATCAGGCGTTTGTCCTCAAACCGTCACAGTCCTAAAGCATGTGTTCATGGAACACGTGACTCCAATTCTTCTTTTTAATAAGCTTGATAAACTTATAGTGGAGTTGAAAATGACACCAGGTAATTATTATTATTATAATTATAATTATAATTATAATTATAATTATCATTAATCGCATAATCGAAGCTGAAGCGTACGTCCATCTCAGTAAAATTCTTGAGCAGGTGAACGCTGTGGTCGCTATGCTGGCCAATGAAAGTCGTTTTTCTAAAAATGTTAAAAGTCTTTAATTTTTATATTTTTTTAAATTTTAATTGCGTTATTTCTATTATTAGAAAGCTAGCGAATCGGATTTGTCAGATAAAAGTAATAACCAATCGTTTTTTATGTTTTTATTATTTATTTTCTTTATAAAGTTATCTTAAGTTCTTACTTTTCTCCGGAAAAAGGGAATGTTCTTTTTGGCAGTGGTTATGACAATTGGGCTTTTAAGTTCGTTGTTTTATTGGTTTTAATATTAAAAATTTCATTTGTTTTTATAAATATCGCATGTATTATAACTTGATTGGTTATGACATTATTTAGTTTAATTTATTGGTTTATTATCTTATAGTTTATGCTAAATAGCTTTTTGTCAAACAATGGAAATAAATTTGATTGGTTTAAATTTATTATATTTTCTATAATTTTTTTAAATTTTTTGTTTTCAGTTTTTTTTGCTTATTTTATTTCTTTTCCTTTTTTGTTATAATTTCTATTAAACCAATAAATAAGCAAAAAAATCCAAATTCTAAAGGTTATTATCAACCAATAAAATTTTATATTAAAAATTATTTGCGCCAATCGCAGAACTCTTTTTTCTTTATTACTACTTTTTTTTTTTTTTGCAGTTTAAGAACATTTGCTTGTTTGTGGGCTGAAAAGTTGAAATGTTCCCGGAAAGTTTTACTTAAAACTTTATGGGGCGACTTTTATTACGACTCGAAGAGTAGAAAAATAATGAAAGGAGCATTCGTTATTATTTAATTACCATTATTATTATAAAATATATATAAAGAGCGCTTTAACTATTTATTATTATCAATATTTTTATGTTAACTTCTGAATAATAATAATAAAACTTTTAGAGCGTTATTTAAAGTTAAAAATTCTTTTTAAGCATTATTATTATCACAATAATAATAATAAAAGTTTTAGAAGTAGGCTATTTTATTTTCAGTATACTTTATATTCTTTTTCAAAATAATCATACATAAGTTACAAAGTTTGTAGTGAGTTTTTTTATGTAAGGCATGTTTCTTTCAACTTTATTATAAGTATAACTAAAATTAGTATTGATTATTATTATTTTTCTTACTTTATTTATTTTTAACGTATTTATTATTACTATTGTGATTATTATTCCAGTCCAAAAGCAAAACTTCCTTGTTTGAACTTTTTATATTGAAGTCTATTTGGAATATTTATAGTTCCTTTTTTTCGCGGTAAGTTGGACTACACCAATTAAATCTTCTTTTATTATTTTATTTTTTCATTAAAAAAATAGAAACGCTGAGCGTCTGCAGAAAGCCGTCGCTTCACTGAAATTGCGGGTGACGCCCGGCGATTATAAAGTACTTTTTTGTTTTCTGATTAATGTATTTTTTAGTGAAAAGTTGGTTAATTTTTTTTATGATTATTATTATTTATTAAAAGTTTCTTGAGCTTTTTATAAGATATTTATATAAAATATAAAATCCATTGAAAAAACGGTTAAAACTATGAATAAAAATGACCAATCCCAAAGGATATAATTATCTGTTATTTAAAAAGATTGTTGAAAATTTTAAACCAAATTACAGTTTTACAGGGCTTTTAGTGAAGCTAAAGGCGTTGTTGGGCCCAATAGTCGCGTCTTTTTTTTTTATAATGAAAATCGTTCGTTATAATAATTGACTGTATACAACCTGGCCTATTAAACTTTATTAAAAAACCATTGGTCAATGTATATTTATTTTTACTATTATTGGTTGAAACACTTAATAATAATATATTCTTATTGCCGGCCAATGACCTTAGAGCCGGAAATATTTACGAGCAATTATGAGCCAATGGCTTCCCATGCACGAGGCTGTCTTCGATATGTTTGTGAGATACGTCCCTTCTCCCGCTGCTGTTGGTCATTGGGTGTTATCTTAAATTATACATGTTATGCTGCCTGTGTAGAACCTTTTGTGTATATCCAGTAGCACTCGTATATGCTTATGAACGTCGTGATATTCACTAATTTCTATGCCTAAAATCCAGGAAAAAGAGTTTTGGAGAATTTCCGTCTAACACGTGATCTCACTGGTTCTTTTGGTGAGGCATGTGGGCTAATCGACGCACTAGAAACCTGCGATCCCGAAAGCGGGCATGTGGTGGCTTTTGTTTCTAAACTGGAACGCTTTTCGCCGGACGGTTGGCTCGAAGCACGCGCCAACACCAAAAATGTTGGGGAAGATCTTTACAAATTATTTAGTGACTTTATTTTTAAATATTTTTGCCATCCTGTGTTGTTCATTGTTTATATTATTAATTTTTTATGAATTTTTATGTCATTATTGCCATTATTTATTTATTTATTATTATAAGGTTATTATGTTTGACCCTCAAAGCGCACAGGAAGCTAGAAAGCGTTATAGAGATCGAATTCAAAGTTTTTCATATTAAACTTTATTATTATTATTATTATTATTATTATTATTTTCGTACTTTTATAGGAGAACTTCATGATGAGAATAAACCTGTTTTTACGGTGAGCTTATAATTATTACTATATATTTACTCTACCACATGGTTTTTTATACTTCCATGTGTTTATATTTTTATTAAATATTATTATCTGTACAGCTAAATTTTATAACTGTTATTTATTTTTTTCACTTTTTAGTTTTTTTCTATAATATTTTAATATATATTTTTAATTTTTTATAAACTTTTATGGATTATTATTATTATTATATTTTAAGGAAGCACACCCTGAAACGCATAGCGAAGAAGAAAGTTTTATAGAAGATACGCGTAAATTACTTGCTTATACAAGAGTTTATTCAGGTTTATTATTCTTATTATTACAAGATAACTTTAGTTAATAATAATAATGTAGAAAAAATATAATAATATTTATTAAATAGAAAATAATACAAGTAAATAATTATTTAATAGAAAATAATATAAAACTCTCGAAAAATAGTAAACCATTTATAATAATAATTATTATTAAATAAAAAAATAATACTAACAAATAATATATAAATAAATAATTATGTAAAACTTAATAATAGTAAATATATAATAATACACGATTTATATTAATAAATACTTATTTAATAATAAATAATATGCAAACTTTTTAAAATAAAATATAGAAAAAACTATAATAATATTTATTAAGTAAAAGTAACATATGCTTTATATTAATGAAGATATAGAAATATTTTATTTATATTTTATTAATAATAATAAACTTTAGAAGAAATATTTTAATAAACTTTTTAAAATAATAATAATATTAACAAATAAAAATACATAATAAGAAACATAAATAAAGCGTATTAATAATTATATTTAAGAGGAAATTTAAGTTTTTTATAAGGAATATAGTAATAGTTGTTATAAATATAACATTTTTATGAAATTATCTGTAAATATTAATAGCAATAATAAAAGATGATATATAAGTTTTATTATTAATAATAAATATATATAATATATATTATTATAACTAAAAATATTAAAAATAATTAATAATTAAGTAAAGATGATGTTAAGAAACAATATTTTTTAGTAACATATATAAAATATAAATAAATTTATTAACAATAGAAAAAATATAGTAATAAGTTGATATTATAATAATAAATAAATAAAAGTTTTTATTATATAAAAATAATATTAATAATAATTCATATCAAGCGTTTTAAAGAAGTATAGAAGTTACATATAATTTGTATAGAAAAGAAATATAGACATCCTAATAGTAATAAACATAATAATAAGTAAATAAAATTTATTCAAAAACAATAATATGAACAAATACTTCACATGATTAATATATAGAAAATTTATTAATAATATATAGAAAAAATATATTAATATAATAATAAACATTTCAAAATAAATAAACTATTTATTATATAAATAATAAAACATGTATTAATCAAAAAATAATAACACTATGAAAGAAAAAAATTATTAATATAAAAGAAATAATAAACAATTCATAATAATAAAAATAATGTTTAAAGCTAATAAATTTCTATTTATAAGTATAAGTATTAATAAATATAAAGAAAGTGTATATATGTAAAAATAATTTTATTAAATATAATATAATTCATTATAATAATAAAACAATATATAATAATAAATAAAATAGTATAACAGATAATACATATAATAATTATATAAACTTATTAATTATAAGAAATATAGAAAAATATAATATTATAATAGTATGTAATAATAATATATAATATATATAATTCATAAAACTTAATAATAAATATAGAAAAAATCCATCAATATATCTAAATACTATAATAAACAAATCTACGCTAATAATAAATATAATAAACGATTTATACAAAAAGTATATAAACTATAAGAAATATAGAAATATTATATTAGTATACTATTTTTAATAATACTAAGCGATTCATATTAATAGTGTAAATATAAAAATAAAAAATATAATAATAAATAATTCATAAAAATAATGATAAATAAAAATATATTTATTACTTAATACGAACTAATAAATATTAAGCATACTATGTAAACCTATATAAATAAAGGAATATATTTATATATAAATGTAATATAATTTAAAAATACATTAACAATTTAGAAAAAAAGTATATTAATATAATAAAAATATTTATTAAATAATAATTATAAATAATTAATATTAAATATTGAAAAATTTATATTTTATTATCAAAGTGAACTTTTGCTGCCTTACTGTTTCTCGCTTTGCAATAATATAATTAACGAATAAAGCGTAACTTTTTTATTCATTATATTTTAGGAACGTTATCTGTTGGGCAGTCCGTTCACGTGTTGGGCCCAAAGTATTATTTTTTATTTATTTATGCTTTTAAAGTTTTCTGTTTTCTCTTAATATCAATAAATACTTTCCTTTATTTTTTTTATTTATTATTATTTTATTATGTTTAACATTACTAATAATTTTTATTATACGTTTTTTTTATTACTATTATTATAAAATGTTTTCTTTTTCAATATTCTCTTTTTCTAATTTTTTCTTTTGTTTTTTTGTCAATAATTATTTATTATTCATTATTTTTATTAATTGTTTTATTATTATTATTATTATTATTATTTATTCTTGATTGTTTTCTATTCTTATTTCACTTTTATTATTATTATAATAAATATTTTTCTTTATTATTTTTAAATTATAAATAAATTGTAGTATTTTTGGTTGGTAATATTATATATAAAACTATTAATAATGCTTTTCTGTGTTTATTTATAATAATTTTCATTGGTGAATTTTTATTAAAATTTATATTTACTGGTGGAATTTTGTTAGTTACTTTTTAGTATTACTTTAATGAAAATTTATATATATATTTTGTAGTACTGAAGTATATCATCATTATACATGTTCTTATCGGTTATAAACACTTTTACGTTAAGCATATTTATTATTTTTTATTGGAAGAATACTGTTTATATTAATTTTTATTGGTGAAAAGTTATTTTTTATATTTTATAGTTAACTTTATTGGTAGAATTATTTTTTATTACTAATACTATAAAAAATAATTCTTATCGATGAAATGCTACTTTACTTTCATAAAAATTTTATTGGTAGAATATTTATATTTTTATTAGTGTAATTTTTTATATTTATTAAAAATTTATCATCGGAATATTTGTATATCAGTATCAGTATTTTACTAGTATTATTAATATAATAATATATTTATTTTCTTAAAATACCCAATTTTTGAAGTATAACTTTTGTCAATTCTATAAGTTTCTATTTTTCCAATTATCATAAAATTTTTTAGTTTTTCTGATTGGCGTAAATATTTATGACTTTAATAACTATTTTTATTGGTGAAAAAAATTTGTTTGAATTTCTTTGTAATTGACATTTTTTTATTCTTTTTCTTCAAGTTTTTATATTTATCTTATTATTATTTTATTTTTTTTTATTTTTTAAATTTACTTGATGTTATGTGATATTTTATTGGTTCTTTTTTCTTCTTTCAAGTAATTTAGTGATCGTTAATTCTATTAACCCCAACAATTTTTAATATATAATAAAAATTTTACTTTCCCTTTTCCTACTGTGGGGGAATCTAATTATTTTAGCTCACTAGTAAAGTCTACCAAGTAAACTTGACTTTGCGCCTATATAGTTAAATTGTAACTGTTGTATTGTTTTTTCCATTTTTTTTTTTCCTGTATTTACATTTTTATTTTTCTTATGAAATATTTTACTTTATTTATTATTATTTATGTAATATATTTACTTATTATTATTTATTTGTATTGTAACAGGTACGATCCTTCGAATGTTGTTTCTTTTCGCACTGAAGAAACGGTAGAAGCGATATTTATTATTATGGGCAGCGAGTTTATTCCAGTTGGTAATAATAATAATAATAATAATAATAATAATAATAATAATAATAATAATAATAATAATAATAATAATAATAATAATAATAATAATAATAACAATAATAAAAGTAATAATAATTATAAACTTTTTTCTAGTTATTATATTTAAACTTTATGAAAATATTTATATTATTTTTAAATTTTTTTTATAAAAGTATTAATTTTTTTTTTACTTTTTATTGTATGCAACTTTTTAATAGTTGTGTTTTATCTTATTCTTATTATTTTTTAATGAATTTAATAATAATATAAAAAAAATATACTTTTTTATATTTATTATTTATATAGAAAATTTAAAATTTCCTTTCGTTTATTATGGTTAACTATTTTTATTTTTGGGATTGAAATTAATATAAAAGTTTCTATAAGTATAAGTATTTATAAACTTTTTAAAAATGTTTTCGTTTATTATTATTATTATAATTTAAAATATATTTTTTTACTTTATGTAAATGTTTTCTTTTTTTATTATCATTACAATTTCTTAAAATTGTAATATATATATTTTCTTATCATTTTTAAACTTTTTAGAATATATTTCGCTTATTATTACTTTTATTATAATTTTTTAAATTCATTTAAAATATAAATTTATTAAATTTTTTTTTTACTTTTTATTATTTATAAACGTTTTAAAAATGTTTTTCGTTTATTATTATTATTATTATTATTATTATTATTATATTTTCTTTAATTATTTATTAGAATATTTTTTTTTACTTATTATTATAAACTTTTTAAATTATTTATTTATATAATAATAGTTCATGGAAATACTTTTACTTTTTATTATTTATATAAACTTTTTAAAAAAATTTTGTGTTATTATTATTATAATTATTTTTTTTAAAAATTGTTAGATATAATAATATTTATTTTTTTTTTAATAACTTTTTTATTTTTTTATTTATATTAAAATTTTTTTATGGTTATTATATTCTTTTAAAGAAGTTTTAATAAGTAATGACTAGTTTTCGTTATTATGATTATTTATTAAATTTTATTATTAATAATAATAAGCAACTTTTTGTAGGCATTTTCTGTTTGTATAAACTTTTTAATAATTTCTTTTACATTTTTTTATTTTATTAAACTATTTATAAAAGTTAATTATTATTATTATTATTTATTACCAATATTACAATTATTTTAGATTAATAATAATGATAAATATGAAGCTTTTATATATAAACTTTTATTATATTTATTACTTAATAGTAACCTTTTTAGAGCTGTCAATAATAGTAATAAAACTTTATTATTATTTCATATAAACTTTTATTAATAATAATATTGTAATTATTTATTATATTAATCTATTGTTTCTATAAAACTTTTTCATGAGATGCCCTAATAATAATATTAGTAAAACTTTTATATTCTTTTATTATTTTTTCAGAACTTTTTTAAATAATTATTATTAAACATTTATTATTTAATATTTATTATTATTGCTACTAAACTTTATTATATTTATTTATATATTATTTCTTAATTATTTATTAAAAACTTTTCTGTTAATAATAATAAACTTTATTAGTACTTTTTTCATATTTATTATACTTTTATAAAAGCTTCGGGTTATTATTATTTATTATTATAAACTTTTTATGAGTTTTTTAAAATAATTTTCTTTTTTTTATTTTATTTTATAAACGCTTTAATAAAGTTTCTTATTATTATACTATTTATTATCTTTTGGTTAATAAATATTGTTTCTACTACAAACTCAGCATCGGCGCCTGCAGGATGTATTGTGGCTGTTAGCGGACTTAACTCAGTTACTTATTATTATTATTATTATAATTATTATTATTATTATTATTATTATTATTATTATTATTATTATTATTATTATTATTACTATAGATCCTCAAAACAGCCACCCTCAGCTCGTCGCTTTACTGCCCTCCACTCTCACCTCTTCACTTTGAAGCTTCTCCAATCGTAACGGGTTATTGCTAATATGAACATCTCTGAGTGGCTCGATAGTCCCTTATATTAATGCAATTTTTATTAATATTAATATTAATAATAATATTATTATTCTTTATAATAAAGTTGCTGTTGAGCCGCTAAGTTTGTTAGATATGCCCAAGTTAATAAAAGGTCTCCAACTACTTCATCAAGGTTTTATTTATTATTATTATTTGTTTATTATTAAAAGTTTTCGAAACAAAAATAAAATAAAATATTATTTTAATAACTCATAAATATTATAATAATAATTTTACATGTGAAGTAATAATAATAATAAGCATTAAAAGTTTTATAAAAAATGTTTTTATAATACTATTTATTACTTTTATTATTATTATTATTGTTGTTTATTTCAAAGCGGATTCCTTAGCAGAGTTTGAACATTCTGTACGAGGCGAACTTCTCCTTCGAGCTGCTGGACAAGTTTTTCATATTATTATGATAATTTCAAATAAATAAACTTTATAATAATAAATTATATATTATTTTTTTATTTATTATTATTTTGTTTAAAACTTTTTTATAATCATTTATTATTTTCATTTTCTCTTTAAAACGTTCTAATATTTACTTATTATTACTTTTACTTTATTATTTCCTGTTGAAAACTTTTTTATATTTATTTGATTTATTATTATTTCTTTTCTGTTTAAAAATTTTTTTAGGCTTATTTTTGTATTTATTATTAATATTATTATTTTTTAACTTTTATAATTATTTTTATATCTAATATTTCTTATTATTATCACTTTTATTATTATTTCGTATACTATATTATATATTGAAGCTTTTTTTGTTATTTTCTTATTATTTATCAATTATTATTATTTAAGAACTTTTATTCTATTCAATATTTAGTATTATTATTATTATTATCGTAATTGATTAATTATTTTCATATTAAAATTTTTTTAATATTTATGTTTTATATTTGTTATTATTACAAAAGTTTTTATTATTATAATATTAAAACTTCTTTTAATTAGTTTTTTATATTAATTATTATTATTATACTAATTTTTAAATATTTTTTAATTTATTACTTCTTATTTTTTAGTAATAATTATATATTATAATACTTTTTATAATTTTTATTGACTAAAAGTTTAAGTTTTATTACTTTAGTATGAAAATTGAATATATAAAGTTTATGTATATAAAAAGTTATATAAGTTTATTTATTATTATTATCATATAATAAATTTTATTTATACAACTTTTTGTTATTTTACTTATAAACTTTCCTTCTTTTATTATTATTATTATTTATATATTTTTGTAATTGCTATTATTAATATTTTGTATAGAAATTTTACTTATTACTATTTTATATTAATAAATGTTATATTATTATTATATAACTTTCCTTCTTTTATATTTATTATTATTACTATAAATTTATTATTTATTATTGTTTTATAAAAATTATATATATTTTCATTTTGTTTTTCATTTCCTCTAATATAATTATATTATTATTATTATTTATTTATAACTACTTCTATATTTATTATTATTTATTTATTTCTTTATATTATTATCATTGCTATTATTATTTTTTGTTAATAAATTTTTTTACTTACTATTATGTGTTGATAAACATTATATTTTACTTTTTTACAATTATTTTATTATTATTACTATTTACTATTTATGATTATAATAGTATCATTAGTAATGTTTTCTTACTATTTATTATTATACCACTTTATGCTATATTTAATTTATTGTTATATCTATATTTTTTTACTATTTATTATTTGTTACTGTATTATAGCTATTGTATATATATATTGTTCTATTTATTACTGCTCACTTTTCTTATTTTATTTTTTTTTACTTTTGATTCACGATTGTCTACTTTTTATTATCTTTTTCTTATTATTATTAAACTCATCTATAGGATTTTCATATTATTATTACTACTTTTTCATTTTTTCTATTATTATAAATATATCTCATTTATATTTATTATTATTATTATCTATTGTTATTTTTTTTTTACTTTTCATTATTAATTACTATTATTATTATAATTATAAATCTCGTTTATATTATATTTTATTATTATATATATTTAACTCATTTATGTTCTTTTATTACTTATTCATATAAAAAATATTATTATATTATTACTTATTTTTTTGGCTTTATTATTATTATAATTATTATTATGAATTTCATTTTATTATATTTACACTACACTATTATATATTATGTATATAATTAATTAATTTTATTTTTCACTATTTATAATTATTTTTATTTATTATTATTATATATTACTTATGTTTTAATTTTTACGCTTCAATATTATTATTTACTTTAGAATTATTTATATTTTCTTACTTTTTATTCTTTATTCTTTATATTTTTTTTATATTTATTTTCTATACTTTATATATTTTTTAAAGTGTTGTATAGTATTTATATTATTTATTATTTGTTTACTATATATTATTCACTTTCATTTTCTTTATTATTTATATTTTTTTACTTAATGTTCTTTAGACTTTACATTTATAATATATTTACTATTTATTCTTTATTAGAGATATACATTTACTAATTATTATTACTATTAAAGTTTTGATTATACAATATTATTATCTCTTACTATTAATTTTTTATTATTTTTTATTACTATTTATACCATTAATTATAATTTTTACATTTTATTATAAATTATTATTATTATTATACTATTTATTTTTAATATTTATTATTATTCCTAAATAAATATTTTTATACAATTTTATTCATTATACTATTTTTATTTTTTATATTGTTTTTTACTATTTATATATATTTTTTCTACTTATTATTATTATAATATTTATTTTTATTATTTCTATAAATATTATTTTCTTTTACTTTTTATTGTTTTTTACTATTTATATTTTTTTTGCTACTTATTGTTATTGTATCATTTATTATTATATATATTATTGTTTTAGGTTCATCTTGAGCAATGCTTAAAGGATCTTGAAGAAGACTATGCAAAAGTTTGTACCCCTTTTTTTTATTTATTTTATTTTTAATAGAGAAAGAATGAAAAACTCAAATAATTTTATTTTAGAAAATAATAATAATAAATTTTAATTTTTTTATTTTCTAATAATAATAGTAATAATAGTAATAATCAAAAGTAAAAACTTCTATTTTAGAAATAATAATAAATAGAACACTTTAATATTTTTTTAACTATAACATTATAATTAATAGAAATAATAATTTATTAACTAAAAAATATTTAATAAATAAAAAAATGAAAAACTTTAAAATTTTATAATCAAGTAATAATGAAAACTTTAACTTTTTTAATTCAGAATAATAAAAAATAAAAAATAAAATACTTGAACATTTTATTACTAAAAAAATAAACAAAATATAAATCTTAAATTATTATATTCCAAATAATCAAAAATAAAAAGAAAAGTAATAAACTTTAAAATTTATTATTATTGATAATAATAAGTAAAAAAAATAAATAAAAAACTTTAATAATATTTTTTTATAAATAATATTAATCATAATAAAAAGTTATATCTTTTTTTTTTAGTGCAGTATTAGAAAATCCGATCCGATTGTTTCCTTTAGGGAAACCTTAGTTCACCCTCCTAAAAGTGATATGGTTATTATTATTTTTATTATTATATTTATAAAAAATTATAATTATTACACAAAATATATAAAAAAGTAAAGAACATAAATGTTTATATTAAAAGTTATAGATTTTATAAAATAGTTTTTAAAAATAAAGTTTATAATAAAATTGAAAACCAATAAAACAATAAATATATAATAAACGCTAAACAATACTATTATTAATAAAAATATTATAATTACCATCATTATTTAAAATTATAAAAAATAAATAATAATCAAGAAATATAATAAATACATTATAATTATAATAAATTTTATTATAAATTTATATGAATATAAAAAAAATTATAAATAAAAATAATAATAATTATTAATATTATTTATTAATTATTATAAGAAATAATAATAGAATATATAAGAAAATAGTAAATTTTTTATTAGATAATTATAAATCATGTGTTCATGAAAATATATTATTATAAATAATTTTTTTTTGTATTATTAATTATTAATAAAGCATATTACATATTTAAAATAATAATAAATTTTATAAATGTATTAGAATAATGTAAATTAGAATAAAATTTATAAAAGATTAAAAATAATAATTATTAAGAAAATATACTAAAAACCTAAAAATTATATTATAGTTATGGAAAATAAAATTAATAAATATAAATTGTTAATAGTAAATATAACAATAAAAGTAGAATAAATAATAAAATAATGAAATTAAATTAATTAAAAAAGTTAAAATAAATAAAATACAGAACTGCTAATTATAAAAATTTATTAATAATAATAAATATATAAATGTCAAAAATTTATTATAAATTAATTATAATAATAAATAAAAAAATAATATTATAAATATTTATTTGTAAAAATTAATAACAATAATAATAAATAAATAATAATTTTAAAAAATTTATTATTCAAAATTGATAATAATAATAAAAAGTAAAATAAAACATAATATTATAAAATGTTTTTTTATAATTATTAAGACTGGAATGAAATTTGTAATAATAAAAAAAATATATAAAATATTTGTAAAATTTATAAAAATTTATAAATTAATAATAACAAACAAAGAAAAAATTAATTATAAAAATTTATTATTAAAAATTAGTAATATTAATAGAAAAATAAAATATCATAAGCATTAATACTATTTTTATTAAAAGATTTTATAGTAAAAATAAATTTTATTATTATTATTATTATGATTATGATTATGCTTATTAAGACTGGAGAAGTTATCGATTATAAAAACTTAAGTACTTTTGAAAAAAAAGAAAAAGAAGAATCGGCGGAACTTTGGCTTCTCAATAAAGTTTCATTACTATTATTTATATTAATGTTGTCATTATTAGTAGTATTATTATTAATTTATTTATTATTTATTAAAGTTTTATAATATATTTGTTGTTATAATTATATATTACCTTCAATATGTTATTTTTATTATTATTACGCAAAACTCTCTAGTTTCTTATATTATTTATTACTTTCATATATTTTTTTATTATTACATAAAAATTTATTAAATCTTTTTATTATTGCTGATAGTTCTATCGCTATATCTACTTCTCTTTATATTTTTATGACTAAAAAGTTCTTATTTTATCTTTACATATATAATAATATGATTATTATTTATAAATCTTTATTAAAACTTTTATTATTATTTATTACTTTTCTATATTTATTTAGATATATACTACCATTGTAACTAAAAAGTTTTATTGTATATTATTATGAATTTAAACTTTTTATAAAGAATATATCAAAACCTTTATTATTGTCCTTATTTATTACTTTTTATATTTATTTTTATATATAAAACTATTATTACTAAAAAGTTTTTATCATATAATAATAAACTTATTATGTAAAATTTTCTAAAACTCTTTATTATCATTTATTACTTTTTAAATTTAGTATAAATATATTAATATTTTATTATAAAATTTTATAATTATAAACTCATTACTATTATTACATAAAACTTTATTAAAACTTTTTATTAATAATAATAATATTATTTACTATTTTTTTTATTTATTTTTCTATAACGTCATAATAAATATCATAAACATATTATATTATATAAAATATAAAACTTGATTAAAACTTTTTATCATTATTATTATTTATTACCTTTCACCTTTATTTTATTTTTTATTTTATTATGTTCAAAAAAGTTTTTTATTTATACATATGAAGTGTTTATGATAACTTTTCACACTGCTTATATATAACTAATATTTATTTACTTTTTTCGTCTACTTTTCGTAGTTATGTTATTATTATTAAAAGGTTATTAAATTTTTCTTATTATTAACTTTAGACCCTTTTTATAAAAATTACTGCGCTTCCTCTTCCAAAGAAAGTGGTGGAATTAATAAACAGCCAATTATCTTCGTTGTCAGAAATGTTTTTCGTTATTATTATTTTTATTATAATTATTATTACAAGAAACGGCTATAAACCTTTCGACTATCAGAAAGACGGCGCTTTTCTTAAGAAAGTATATTTTACTTATTGCTGTTTTTTAATTTTTTTAAAAAGTATTATTATTAAAAGTATGGATGTATGTAATAAGTAATTACTAAAACTAAAAATATAAAGTTTTTTGTAGTTTATGATTGGCTGGTGGGTTCACCACGAGTTACGTGATTTTCGGAGCCACGTGATACTTTTCATGTGTTTCGTTTTTGTCTCTTATTATAGATAAAGTTTATTATATTATCGATATAAATAAATTTATTCGCTTTTATTATTTATAAATTTCGGTTTATTATTTTACTTTTAATTATTATTATTTTCGTAATTATAAAGTTTTAAAAATAAAGAAGTAAATAGAAAAATTAATAATAGAAAATATTTCGTAGTTTATATATTTATTGTGAATTTATTATAAAATGTTTATTATGTACTCGAGTTGCAACTGGCTTTTTCTGAAGATTCCGATTATGATTGGCCACTCAACGTCATCCATCGCATTTTGGCGTTTGGTTGGCTATCATTCATTGGTCAGTAATTTAACGATTTAATATCATTGGTTTATACAGGACCCAATAATAATGGCCCCAACGTTTTGCTCAACCAATCTCTGCTGCAGCCCCACACGAGCGGAGAGTGGGCTGCGTCTCAGCCAATGCTCAACAGTATAAAATTTGGCTTTCAAATAGCCACCAATCATGGTTACTGTTATCGTTGTTTCTGATTTTTTATTGTCCTATTAAAAAAGGAAATATAAAATTTTGATTATTATAAAAGTTTTTATATAAAACTTTTTTTTTATTATATTTTTATTACCTTTTGTTTCTTTTTATTTTTAGGGTAAAAAAATATTATTAACTTGTTTTTACTGGCTTTTATTACCATTATACAAAAGTTTTATTAATTATTTTGGTTCTGTTACTTTTATTAACCTTATGAAAAGTTATTATATAAAACTTTTTTTCATTATATTTTATTATTATAATGTATAAAGTTTTATAACTTTTTATTATTTTTTGTTTTTTTTCTTTATAAAAAGTTTATATATTAAAATTTTTTTATTATAAATATTATTTTCTAACTTTTTTCTATTATTTCTTTTACTTACTATTATTTATTATTTTACGTATGACTATTGTAGGCCCGTTATGCGAAGAGCCAATGCGCGGAGTTTGTTTTGTAATAAACGCTTTTACTTACGACTCTTCTATAGAAAAAAGGCGCTCACTTTTCATTATTTTTAAGACCTTTTTCTTAATTTTTATTGGTTGACAGTTCTTGTGGACCCATTGGAGGAACCTTAATAAACGCCAGTAAAGATTTGTGTCGAAAAGCATTTCTTCGTGGCCATCCTCGTCTGATGCAAGCCGTTTATTCTTGTGAAATTCACGGTTTTATTATTATTATTATTATTGTACTATTATTATTTATTATTATTATTATTATCTTTTTTTAGCGCAAGCAGAAGTTCTTGGCAAAATATATTCTGTAATATCTAAACGAGCTGGACAAGTTTACAGCGAAGAAGTTTTATCATTATTATTCATATTAATATTATAATAATAATAATTATTATTATTCTTTAAGATGAAAGAGGGGACTTCATTATTTCTAGTGAAGTGTTACTTGCCGGTAATCAATTCTTTTGGATTTGTGGAAGAAATCCGTAAGAAAGCCAGCGGGTTTCACTAATTATTATTATTATTATTACTATTATTATTATTATTATTATTATTATTATTTATTCAGCTCTGCTAATCCTCAACTGGTATTAGATCATTGGCAGGTTTATTATTATAATCATATTCTATCATTATTATATATGAAAATATACTTACTATTGTCATTATATTTACGCCTATATATCATTATTATATATGAAAACATTTACTTATTATTATCATGTTGTTATTATTTTTGTATATATAATTACCTCCTATTATTATTTAATTAATTTATATGCTTTTAATTATTATTATAAATTTTTTATTTACTTATTATTATTGTTCTCATTTTTTTTATTTATTATTTATATATACCTATTTATTCATTTACCTATTATATTTTTATTATTACCATTGTCCTTATTAATATTTTATTTACTTTTTATTATTGTTATCGTAATTTTAATACTAATTATTATTTTAATTTCCATGTTTATTTATTTACTTATTATTATTGTTATCCATTTTTATTTATTTATTTATTGTTACTATATTCTCATATTATTTTATTTACTTTTTTTAAATTCTTATTATTATTCATCTCTATTTATTTGTTATTATTATTATTATAATTTCTTATTATCATTATTTTACTTATTATTATTTATTTACATTAATTTTTTTTGCTTTTTATTAATATAATATAATGTACTTTATATTATTTCATTTATTTTACACTTGAACTATAATTATTATTTTTTATTTCATATGATTTTTACGATTTTAAAATAAAAAAGTTATTTTAAAAATATTTTATTTTCCAATAAAATTTTATAAGTTAAATATTTTAGAGAAGTAGAAAGTTTTTATTATTTTATATCTTTTATAAGAAGTTTAATATTTTTAATAATTTTTTAAACTTTTATTAAAAAAAAAATAAAATTTTTTAGTTTTTAATTTTTCTTTAAACTTTTTATTAATCATTTTTAAAAAGAATATAATATTTATTATTATAACTTTATGTTATTATTTATTAATAAAACTAACGTATTTTTATATTTTTTATATTTTATGGAACTTTTTATTATTAGCTTTTTAAATAAGAATAACATATATTTTTTATTTTTATTTATTTCTACAAATCTTTATTATTTTTATTTTTATAACTTTTATTTGTTATTTTTAATATAAATATAATATTTTTATATATATATTTTAAAAAAAAGGATAAAGTTTTTTTATTTTTAAAACTTTTGTTAATTTCATAACTTTTTATTTTTATTTATAAATAAAAATAAAATATTATTTAACTTTTTATTCTTTTATAAATAAATATTAATTATTTTATATATTTTTTAATAATTTTATAAATAAAAATAAAATATACTTTTTATAAAAATTTTAAAGTTTTTTTTATTTATTTTTTGGATAAAAATAATCATTATATTTTCATAAAAGTTTAAAGTGTTTTCGATATTATTATAACTTTTAATTATTTTTAGAAACAAAAAACTCCTTTTTTATTGGCTAGCTTCTTTCATTAATTTTAGAACATTGACTCAACAATTTATAATAAAACTTATAATATTCATAAACCTTATTAACAAGCTTTACTTTGAATTTTTTGCTTGCTATTCTGCTTTCAATTTTTTCAACAAAACGAACGCCAACATTTTAAGAATAGTCTTAAATTTTTTATATTTTTATATCAAAAATGTAAACTTTTCTTATTATTCAACATTTTAAGGAAAAGTCTTAAATTTTTATATTTTTATAACTTTTTTTTTACGAAAAATAAAAACTTTTCTTATTACTATTATTATATTTTTTGTATAATCTCGTTTAGATTTTGCCGATAGATCCCTTTTGGACTCCATCTACGGAAGAAGAATTAATACTTTTTGGAAAAAAAGTTTTTTTTATGTTATTAATAAAATAATTTCTTTTGGTTCTAAAAATATATTTTTTTATTATATTTATTTTTTAACCGAAAAAAAAGTTTTTAAAAAAATTCACAAAAAAATCCTTTTGGAAATTATTATTATTTTGATATTAAAATTTTGCAATTTTTTTTCAAGTATATAAAAAATTTCCAGTAAAGAAATATAAAAATATTATTTAAATGAAGAAATTTTTATTAAAAAAAATTATTATTTTTATTAATCTGCTTGCAAAAATACTGAAGATTTTTCTTTAACCAAAAAAAAAGTTTTTTTTTTAATTTTTTTTATTTCGTTTCATTTTGATATTTTGCAGAATTTAATTTTTAAGAAAATAAAAGTTTTTTTTTAGTAAAAAACATAAAAATTTTCTTTATCCAAAACTTTTAAAAAAAAATTAACAAGTTTACTTACGGATTTTAAAAAATATTTTTTAAAAAAATATATTAAAAATTTTTTTTATGTATTAATTTGCTTTAAAAAATATTAACAACTTATTTTTTTCAAGTTTTCTTTTATCTGAAAAAAAAGTTTTCAACGATTTCTTATGGGTTAATAGAGATTTCTCTATTTTTTTTAGAAATTTTTTTATTAATCTGATTTTTAAATTTTGAAAAGTTTAGTTTTGTTTGTATATAAAATTTTTTTAAACAAAATTAAAACTTCTTTCGTATTATAATATTTTGTTTAACAATATTTTTTTTATATGAAATTGCATTCGAAAATTATAAAATCTTTTCTCAAGACTTTTTTTTCTACAAATAAAAAGTTTTTTTTATAAATTCTATTTTATGGAGTAATAAATAATTTTTTTTTAAGAAAAATTATTTAATAAATGTGACATCGAACTTTTCTAAAGTTCAATTTTGTATATTTTAAGTTTTTTTTATTATATAAAATATTTTTTATTAAAGATTTTCATGAAATTAAAAAAATTTTTTTTTTTTAGAATTTATAAAAATTATTTCGGTTAAACACAAAAATTTTAAGTTTTTATTATTATTTGTATTTGGAATTTTTGTATTATTTCATAATATATTTTTTAATCATAATTTTTTAATATTTTTTTATTTATAATTTATTATTATTATTAATTCTGTTGTAAAATATAATTTTTTATAGAATTTGTTTTACTACAGCAATAAAAATTTGTTTAATGATTTTCTTTTAATCAAAAAAATTTTTTTTTAATATTAAACAAAATTATATAATATAATATTTTTAAGTTCGTTGTTTGCGAAAATAAAATAAAGTTTATAAAAAGATTTTATTTGAACTAAAAAAAAATTCATTTATTTTATATAAAAATTTTTTATATAAAAAATATTTTTAAATTTTACGTTTGCGCAATTACTTAAAGTTTATATAGTTTTTTTATGATTTAATAACTTATTATTTATATTCTCTTTATATTTTTTATAAAAAAACGTGCACTATATTTTTTTTACTTTTTTTGATTATCACTATAAAACTTTATTCATTATTTTTTATTAAGACAAAATTTTTTATTATTTTATAGTTATTTCATTATTACTCTATACTTTTGGATTTACTTGTTTAAAATAACTTTTATATACTTTTAAAGGATATTGCAAAAGTTTCTTATTTAAATAATATCTTTTATAAATTTTATTAATCCCGTAATAATATTAAAAAGTTTATATAACGATTTCCTTTAATTAAAAAAAATTTCTTCTGGTTTAATTTTTTATTAAAAAATTTTTTTTTACAAAGAAATAATATTATATTTATATATTTGATTTGCGTAAATAACGCAAACTTTATTATTTTTTAATAAACTTTTTTTTTAATTTTCTTGATTGCAAAAATATTTTTTATAAAGATCTCCTTTTGATTAAGAAATGAATTTACGTTATTTTTATAAAAGCGTTTTTGTTTGAAAATTATTTTTTAAAATTAATTTGATCGCGAAAATTTTGTAAAGTTTATGTGATTTTCTTTTGATCGAATTTTTTTTTTTACAAAATTTTGTTTTTTTTTAGTTTTATTGCGACAACTTTGTACAGTTGATTAAAAGATTTCCTTTTGGTTTTTTTAAAAAGTTTCTTACATGCATAAAAATAATTTTTTTAAAGTTTGATGGCGAAAATATTGCAAGGAAGTACATGAACGACGTAAGAAGAAGAAAAGGTTTGCCTGTAGAAGAAAAATTAGTGGAACACGCAGAAAAGCAACGTAAATTATAATAATATTAATAATAATTATAATATTTATATTAAAATATTTATTTTTTATTTAGGAACACTCAAAAAAAATAAATAAAAGTTATTTTAAAAATTAAAAAGTTTGTTTTATTATTATTATTATAGTCTCTATATATACCAGAATTTTATTAAAAAATCAAAATTATAAATTTAATGAATTTAAATAGTTTAATAAAATAAAAATAAAATGTATAAAAGTAATAATAAATAAGAGTAAAAAAGATAATATAATAATGATTTTCTTAACATCTAAAGTTTAGAAAATAAATTAAAAACAATTAATTATAGTAAACTTCTTCTGAAAAAGTATGGAATAATAAATTAGGATTACTATTTCACTTTTGTTTAAGAGTTGCTGCTTGCAAATGATAGTAGTCACTTTCATCATTTAAATTTATAAAATAAATTTTATAAAAGATAATTTTAAATAATCTTAAGCAAATTAAAGATTATACTCATGAAGTTACTTTCATCTTCAATCAAAACTATAAAATAAAAATATAAAAGATTGTTTTTTCAAATAAGCTCAAGCAAACTGAAGCGTGTACTTATGAAGTTACTTTCATCTTCAGTATGCACAACTAGAAGCTTATAAAGCTAAATGTTTTTAATTTTTTTTTAAAAATAACTTATTTCCATTTAATTTATATTTAACAAGTTTTTGTTGCCCTTTTTAATAAGTGTTCTCGATTTTAATTTTTCCTTTTTGCTTTTGTTCCTTTTATATCTTTTAATTTCTCTCGCTATACTTGTAACTTATTACAACAATTATTTTATTTTTTTTAATACTTTGGAAGTAAAAATTCACTAACCTTAACAACGTTTTTAAATATATACTAAAAATGTTATAGCTATAAAGAAGTAATGTTCATAATAAATTCTTAATCTGTTTAAAAAATTTAGTATTACTAAATAACGAACTATTTAAGTTTTATTATTATCTTTGGCTTTACGTTCTTTAGACCAAAACTATCTTTAAAAAGTATCGCTGGTTCTCTGGACTAACACAAGCTCAATAATAATAGCGTCAAGAAAGAAAAAAAAAAGTACGCAGCAGAAAATAGACAAACCACAGTTTTTTTGAAAAAAAAAAAATTACGATAAATTATATATTTAATGATATAAAGTTTACGACTACCTAGCTAACAGCATATTTTAAACCACAATTCGTCCTGTAAGGAGAGTAAATTCTAAACAAAAAGTATTGGGGCAGTGTATATTTAACACAGACAAATATATTGCTAAAAGGATTATTAAAGAAGTGAGAAAAATGGCAATTATTATGTTTAAAAAAAAGGTTACTATAATTAACTTAAAGCACCATAAATATAAAAAAATTTATCAATTTTAATTATTTTGTAAATTTATAAATTTAGCAGAAAAACAAACGATTATTGCCAGTTTGAAAAAATAAAATATGGAAAAAATTTAACATTAATCTTTGTATCACTTTCCGAGTCTAGAATTAAGCGATTTTCAGGAAAATATGGTATAAACTTAAACCTCCTATTAGCACTGATGACAGCAATGAAGAGTATATAAGTTTTGAAGGTTCACTAAAGAATATAGACAGGCGGATAAAGCATATATAACTACCATCCTACAAAGATTTATACTAATCGACAAAGAGAAACATATACGAGGAAAATAAAAACTGCTAAGGGAACTCTAATATCTCTGTTAAACGCGGCAGAAAGCTTTCAACCGATAATTTTTCGCCCAAGTGTAATATTAAAAAGTGTTAATGTGACCCTTTAGGCCAATAATTATAATTGTCTTAAACCAATGGGTTCTAATTTTTCTAAAAACTGAAAACTAAATTTAATAGAAACCATATAAAATAGTCCTCTTGTAAAGCTAAATATTGCTATAACCAATATTATAGTCATAAAAAATATTATGTAAGAACTTTTTTATATACCTGTTACAGTGCAAATTTATGCAGATTACGTTATATCGATATTGCTGACCACATTATGTTGCACAAATCAATAGAGCACAAAAACTACAATGTAAAATATATATAAAGTCTGAAACAAATATAGTTGATATTTTCTCCAAGTCATTTTCCTTCTAAAGATAATACATATTTAAAACAAATTTTTAGACTTAACCGGAAAAATAAAAGGTTAAAACAAGATTTTACATAATATTACCAATTAAATTCTTTACATTTCACGAAAGTAAAATTTTTATTAAATATACAACCAAACAATGATTTAAAAATCAGTCTATATATTAAATTATTTATATTTATTTAACTTTATAAAATGAACAGAAAACCGTGGGTCTTTGAAAGATAGCAGCTTTTTTATTTGAAACTTAGAATAGGGCCTTTCATTTTTGTTATAAAATGTAATATTCATCAAATGATAAATAACTAAATAAACAACACCACGGGAATAGACATAATCTTTATTTTTCTATTTCATTAATGCTTTTATACTCGTTTCTTCTCCTTTAAAGTTATATAGCTGAAAAGGCGAGGTAAAGTCACTTCTATTGAACAGATTTTCGGGGCTTCTTAAAGAACTTTGCTGTCGTCTTTTACTGTTTAAAAAAATGTATGATACTTAGTTGAAAAAAGTTCTATTGCTAAAAATGCGACAACTTTGCTATCGTTTGTATTCCAAGTCTAGGAAATCTGTAATCATTAATTAAGTTACCTTTTTTTACCTTCATAACCTGATTTGTAAATTTCTTTCTGTTATGAGAATTTTAATATTGTTATATTTATTTATAAATAATTCGTCATAATCTTGTTTCTTGTTGTTCCGTTCCACAGCTGTTCTGATATATTCTTATAATTCAGTTTTACTTATAACTGTTCTATATTCATTATTATATTTGGCCTATCTTTTATGAATATAGTCTTGAGTTTGCTTTATAATTCAATTTTATTTAGTTTCAAAATTAAATTGTATATGCCCATTTATCTGCATAGAACGTTGTAACCTTTGCTTAGGTTATAACTATAACAAAAAACTTTCTAATAATTGAGCGATAATTAACGTTACGGATTTTTATGTCACTAACAAAAATTTGAAATTAATCTTTACAATAAAAGTTTAATTACCAAAAAAAAAAAGGGCAGTGCTATAAAATTAATAAAAACACTCAAGCTTTAAAAACTGTATATAAGCTGGTCTACGATAAAATTCTGCATTAACTTTGTAAAGAAAATTATTGTAACAATATAAAAATTATTTTATATTAAATCTATTAAGTAATTAGCTTTGAGTTTTGCTTTAAAAGTAATACATAAGTTAGATTTTGAAAAAAAAATTAATGCGTTAACATAATTTTTTTTTTAAT